GGTAAACAATAGTACACTCGTGTGACGATGATATGTTAACACCCAATATCGAGACTCCACTGGGAAATGTGTACATGTAATCACACGTACTTCAGAAATAAAGTTTCTGATACAAAGACATTAACTGACTCACAGGAAAACAGACATGAGACAAGAAGACTTCAAGAAGGTCATATATGAACTTATGCAAAATTGATAGCCAATTACCGGACCTTGTTATGTATCAAATATCAAGACTCTAGACCTTGTAGAACTTTAGAATAAGTTTTTTGAAGTTGTTACCCTGAAATAGCACATATGAAATTTGACCCCTAAATAACTCAAAACTTGACTTGGTCAACTAAAAATGTTTCCTGCTAATTATAAATATATGCGCATTTGTGTTGTCCACATCATACCTGAATATTAAGTGAATATATCAAATTTTTTTCGAGGCATAATACTAGCCAAATATTAACACCCTAGGCCAGAAGAAGTTGTTTAAAGTAAAAAGTTGACGCCTGACAGGCGACGGACGCCGCCCCACGGCATAAGCTCACTTGGCCCTTCGGGCCAGGTGAGCTGGTAACATTTAGTATAGGCATTATGTATGCGATTACATTATTCTATTTAAATATATCTATAAAGTGGAAAATGGACAGTATATATGATATGACATTTATAACAAGCATGTCCCCTTACCGGCCCCCCAAACTTTAACCTTCAGATTTTGGCCAGATAGTTAAGTCCAAATCATGTCAAAAATAAAAAACAAGAATTATTTATTCACTTTCACTAAACAACATTAATGCTAGACCCCTAAAGAACCTCTGTCCATGAAATCAGCATCCTAACAATATTATAAAATGAATGGTGAGCCATTACAAAACTTTAACCCAAACTTTAACCTGCAGATATATTGATGTTTGCCAAGATAGTTAAGCCCAAAACATGTCAAAAATTAATTAAAAAAAAAAAATCCATTTTCAATCCACAGCATTTAAATGCTAGATCCCTAAAAAAAACTCTGTACATAAAATCAGCATCCTAACACTATTATTAAGCGTATGGTAAGCCATTACAAAACTTTAACCCAAACTCCTGAAGATTTTGGCCAGGATAGTTAAGTCCAAAATATGTCAAAACATTTCCCCAAAAAATAAAATTATTTTCCATTTTCAATCCACAGCATTAATGCTAGACCCCTAAAGAACCTCTATGCTACGAATCAGCATCCTAACATCATTATTAAGTGAATGGTAAGCCATTACAAAACTTTAACCCAAACTTTAACCTGAAGATTTTGGCGACGTACGGACGGACGCAGACCTAAATAGTCCCCCCGGTTTCACTGGTTAAGGGGACTAATAATTGGTATACGGTTAAAACGGCCGCACTGCAGTAACGGCCCTTGTAAAAACGGCCCTAGTTAAAACGGCCCCACTTTATATATAGTATAGTATAGTATATACTGTATAGTACTGCAAGTACTACAAGTGCGTAATACAGGTACATAACTGGATATTATGTTAATAAAGTTACATGCGCTTTCAAGAAATAAAGATATGTACATGTACAGATAAAAACATTATAACTGTGTTTGTGTTTTCATTGATAGTTGATCCTCCTCAGTCTCAAATACCTTTGCAATGGTGTTTTCTACTTCAGTGTTTAATTTAATTTAATTTAATTTAATTATTTAGAGAAAAGAATTAATTGAAAAACTTATTGAATAGCATTTGAAAAAAATAGTTACAATTTTAACTAATAATAATTTAGATATGGGAGGAGGGTCTTTGTTGTTTTAACAGAGTACCTCGGAGTATCTCGGAGTGACTCAATTAAAACAACAATTAACGGTATTGGTCAGAGGGTGTAATAATTGGACGAATGTATAACAAAATCTTCACATATCATTTGAATTTGAATAAGACTTTCAACCATGAGACCAGCATTGACGAACTGTTTAGAGTGTGACAGTGTTATTCGACCTGCACAGCATGCAGTTAGCACTGCAGTGCGATTGCTGTAGTAGATGGCAGCATAGAACGTGTGGTACCGGTAAGTGATATGAAATATATATAAATGTCAATCACAGAAATACCCAATTGATACATTACCGTGCATGGTAAGATAGGATGATTTTATATAAAAGATAAGACATAATCTTACTGTTGTATAATTGTTGTTGTTTAATTTAGTACTTGTCAAAATAATCATTACGTTATCATTGTCTATTTATTTAAATATACATCAATGTTCATATAATATACGTCCCGTTATAATTGTCTATTTATTTAAATATACATCAATGTTCATATATATATATACGTCCCGTTATCATTGTCTATTTATTGAAATATACATCAATGTTCATATATTTATACGTCCCGTTATAATTGTCTATTTATTGAAATATACATCAATGTTCTTATATATATACGTCCCGTTATAATTGTCTATTTATTGGAATATACATTTTAAAAATTACATCTTATAATTCCAATCAAATTGTATATGACGATTTAAAAAGTAGGGACGTTTTAAATAGGTCCGTTTTTACACTGCAGCCGTTTTGACCTAGATTCCTAATAATTAATAAGTTATCTCCTGCCTAACAGAACAATTTTCATCAACAT